GGGTCGCCAATAAAAAGAACTGTTTATATGTTTGTCAACCTTGCAAGATAAACATACAATCTGGCACATTGATCTGCGGGTGAACTTGCCAGGTCTTTCTCGCAAAGGCTTGCGCCTCGCCTGGAGGTATAGCCGAGGTGACGCTCAGCTGCTCTCACCATGGCACTGTGTCAGGGGAAAAAAGGAACACCCTTTTTTGAGAAGACTTTGTGCGCTTTTTAGCCGCCCAGAACGCTGAGGAAGCTTGCACCGAAATCATCCGGGATGCTGTTGCTGACTACCATGACTCCCTGGAAGGAACAAAAGATGGATATTTTTGCCCATTTGTGCGAGACCTGGCAAACGTCAAGGAGAGCAATTCTGATCCCTGTATAGGTCAAAGGTACTTTTGGCACATTTCCATATTTCTTTATGGACCCCATTGTGGTTTCACCCTTTTATGACTTCCTTTGGCACTTGACTTGGTAAGGAACGGAACGTTTCAAGAATCATGAGCCGATATGGAGTCAAATACCCGGTCGAGATGTCGTATGCAGAGGTTGCCAAGTACTCCAAGTACCCATGGATTCGCCCTAGCAGTTTCATCAAAACGATGGCAAAAACCAATGATTTGGGTCGGATTCTGTCTGGCAAGAACACTATGTCTGCAGCCGCCCCTCTACTTCGAGAGTTTTGGAACCGCTATAGGAAGGCCTGCCCCCAGCATGAGCTCTTTACAACATCTCTACCACTCCACCGGTGTGTCCCATTGTACATTCACGGGGATGGTGGCGTGACACAAAAGAAGGGAGCGGTGCTCCTAATCAGCTTCCAAGGGGTTCTTGGTCAAGGAACATCCCGACGTTCACTTTCAGAGGCACTCACAGACCACGAGGGGTCCGATCTGTCATCTGCTGGAATACCGCTCAACTTCTTGAAGACAGGATTTCAATCACGTTTCCTTTGCATTATCGCTCCCAAGGACCTTTTTTGGGTGAGTGTCTTAAACTCAAGCTGTGTTCAAGCTCTATACATATTTAAATTTCAATAAGATAGAAGCGTTTGGGCCAAACAAGTTGAGGGGCATAGGTGTTGTCCATTTACCGCACGCAATCTAAGCCCCTGCTCAGGACATGTATGAGGAAAACGATGATGTTTGGGCCGGGCTGGTGAGGTTGGTCGTCGGTGACTTTAAAGAAGCGCAGGCTACTGGCATTGACTTGGGGCAAGACGGGCTGCTGTTTCCTATAGTGCTGGGAAACAAAGGAGACTGGAGTTACCTCGCCTTTTGCCAGCATGTGGGGATGTTTAATTTTGTTTTGGTTTTCACAGCGTAGATGTGATTTCCTTTTTGCTTTCCTTTAGATCAGGTTGACAGCGCCAATTTGGACCGCTCCTACAGGCGATGTCCAAAAGCTGCTGAGGGCACAGCTTTCGGAGGAGTTTGCCATCTCTGCATGTGTGGGACATCCGGGCACGGTCTTGAATGGGAAAACCGGACACTTAGCTGAGGTTGATCTTTTATAGGTTTCTCTTTTGAGTCTGTACAGTTGTTTTCACAAAAAATCATGCGACCAAAGTTTTTGGACGTGTCTACGAGGACAGTTGCAAGAAGATGCATGGAGGAGGCCTTAACGACGCAGCTTCCTGACCCGTGGGCATCTGAGGCATCTTTTACCCAAATGCTTCTCTGTGACAAGCGGCCAAATGGAAAAGCCTTTTTCCACAAACCGGATATATGGCACGCATGCCATTTGGGCTGTGGCAAAGCCTTCTGCGCAAGTGCGATGTCTATCATTCAGAAGGCAATTCCAGGAAGATCGATAGGTGCCAGGTTCAAGGTGCTTGCGGATGATTACAAACTGTTTTGCCGACAGAACCACTACCAAGCATACGTCAGCCATTTCGATGATGGCCTCTTCGGCATTTCAGGGAACAAGGAGCCGGCCGGGGGTTGGAACAAGGCAAATGTTACAGCTATTATGTGCCGATTCGTGGAGCATTTGTTCACAAAGTATGGTGACCTCATTGCTGGCCTTCGTGATGAGAGAACGACCTACATTGCCACTCCTGTTTTGCTTAAGTCTTCAACCCCCTCCTTGTTTCTGTTTATTTTAGATCATTTTGTTTTTCCTGTTCAGGGCCCAGGGCTTATAATATTTTGGTTTGATTGCCGGGGTCTGACTGAGGAGTCAGCTTCTCGGGCTTTGAACCGTTTGATGCATTTGCTCTACAATGGTGACGTGTGGTTGCCGCGACAGGTTGCTGCTGAGTGCGTGCAGTGCGGTGAACATTTCAGAGCTGCATATGAATTTCTGACAGCCTCATCCGGCGCAAAGCGTCAAATGAGGTTCCCAATGCATCCAAAGCTTCACAGCTTTGAAGAGATTGTGTTCCGTATGTCTGACCAAATTCGATTGGGAAATCAGTGGATTTACAACCCGATTACCGAGTCATGCAGCGTCGACGAAGATTTTATTGGACATGCTGCATACCTGACTCGCCATGTCCATATGCGCACGATGGCTTGGCGTAGCTTTGAGCGTTACTTGTGCCACCTAATGATGGCGTGGCGTGTGTAAAGCTTGCAGGCTGTGATGTCGGTGCAGTGCCAAACTACAGTTGGAACAGGGTTTGTTAGGCTATGCTGCAGTGCTTTTGCCACTTTGTAGTTTAGTGCTTCTGGATCAACTATGCTTTTGGGCTCCGAGATCATGGGAATTATGTTGCAAATTAACCTTTGTATGCAGACCAGCTCAATTACGTTAAAAAAGCGTTCAGAGTTGAAAGACCCGTTCGAGAGTGGAAATTACCGTTCAGGAGTTGTTTTCTCTATAAGAATCTGATAAAATATGTTTTTTTGTGGAAAGAGTTGAAAAAACAATGGTTAGGGTTCTACAGGGAGAATTTATAAAGTGGGGAAATGTTTTTTCATTAGGACATCTCCCGTGCTAGTTTTCCATCTTTACCATACTCAGACTTGCCCTTGCATAGTCATTGCATGCTTGCATACTCACACTTGCATACTTTGACCCTGGCATACTTCACACTTGGATGCTTTCGCTCTTCCAGTGTGTGTGTGTGTGTGTCAGTGTGAGTGTCGAAGTGTAAGTGTGTCAGTGTGAGTGTCGAAGTGTAAGTGTCGAAGTGTCAGTGTTCAAAGGATTTGCCGGAAGAACCCTTCGCAATGCTTTCGGGAAAAACACATTTCCAGACTAGTCCAATCTTCAACATAGTTCTGAAACCTTCGTTTTTTTGTGTTGTTTTTTTGGTTTCTTGGCTTTGTCGTCCAGGATTAATCCAGATTAATCTGAAGTAATCTTAATCTTCCTTAATGAACCCTACATGTCTGCTCCACAACAATGTCATACACTCAAACCTTCATCTGCTGCTCATCTGCAGGATTTGGCTTGTAGCTCCTGTTCTACAAAGTCATTGCATGTTTTGGCAGCAACATTCCTTCAGAGACCACCTGCTCCATGCTCTAGAAGGATTTGCCTTGGCGCGACGAACCCCTGACAAAGTCATTGACTTCAACTTGGACTATCGGACTACCCAGCGAAGGACGTGGTCAAGATCAGCAACAAGTGTGTGCTGCTGTTCCCTCCTGCTGCAAAAGGGTAAAAGAAGTTGCCTCCAATGGTCATTTTGGAGTTGCCAAGAAAGGCCCGCCAATGAAGCTTGTGGCAGAGCACCAGCGCTCATGCCATTGCAAGGCCAAGGATGCTGTATGCCAAGTTCTTCCCGATCGAACTGCAGGCCTGGCAACTTGTATTGGACCCCAAGACAGGCAAGATCCTCCAAGCTCACGAGCACACCATCAATGAGAGGAGCCAAGACAAAGTGGCTTTGCTGCAGAAAGTTTCAGGCTTCCCAAGGTCGATGTGGATTGCCTAATCCATAAAGATGCGTGTCACTTTGAATCTTTTGTGTCCAAAAACGACATCCCTGGCTTCGACAACATCAAGTTCTACATGGTGGGTTCCTTTCACATGAAGAACCACAAGTGCAAGAAGTCCACGAGAACTCGGAAAGAGAAGAGCAGGCTGAAGGATATTAACGCCAGCGTCTGTGAACAATTCAATGCTTGGCTTCGCCCCTTCAACTTCTTCCTCAACCACTTGCGGCCACACAGCCATACGTTCTGGATGGAAGAGGCAATGCAGTTCTATAACACCTACAAGTCCGCGCATCCTTGTCCGCCGCACAACCACTGCTTCCCGCGAGAAAAATCGAAGTAGAGTTTTGGTTGCACCTGGATAGCGTTACTAACGCACGAGAGCTACTCCTGGAACACCTGAACGACTGCCCTGAATGTCTGGACAATTTGAACTACATCAACAAGCTCTTGAATAAAGCGTTGGCCAATTGAATGTTTTGCTGACCTGATGCTGAAAGGGGGGCGCACGTAAGCTGACTTACTGAAGCTTGTTTTTGATCACATGCCTTGCGTCAACTATGTAAGAGGATTAATCCTGTTTAAATTTCAGAACCCTGATTTCTGCAACCCACAACAGTCCCTTCTCTTATTATGTTTTGTTTTTTGAATATGCTATCTTTATATATTTATTTGTTAAACTTCTCTATTCTATTTTTTGTTTTTAGTTTTTTTTGTTATTATTGTTTGGTTTATTTAGTTATTTTTTGTTTTTTAGTTTTGTTTTCAAACGTTCTATTCATTTTGTTGATTTGTTCTTTTTGGAACGTGCTGCTAACTCTGTTTAGGGTGGGTATATTAATCAGGGCGGGAACTTGGCTAACTTTATGTCGGGTCCCTTTATTTATCATAGGCCAACATTTTATGTATAACATGTGTTTCGTATATGGTTTATTTCATGGCGCACGTGTTCGAACATGTTTTGCGCCTAGTTACTGACTTATCGCCCCGTTTCTTGTGACAGCCACCTTGCAGCCGTCTTCCACAATATTGTTGATGCCCCCTCAGTGCTTGACTTTGACTATTTGCGGGTCGGCACCTCATACATTTACTGGGGTTCGCCATCGGCCTCATTGCCGTCAAGGTGTTCATTCCAGAGACCGGGTTTGTGAACGCCTCCAAGTGCAGGCGAGCGCGAGTCGCGCGACAGGTGCACAAGGAACACAAGTGAGTTGGGAAAAGCATGGAAGGGCCTCACAAGTGCAGGATTTATCGGTGGATATCGGTGGTAGACTCATGTTCGGGGAGCACCTGCTGATCTTGTTGGGCTATTTGGTGTGGCGGAAGGTCTCGTGCTCCCAATCTGTTGCCTGCGCCAAGCCTGTAGAGTGGACAAAATCCTGCACCGGATCCTGGACTGCATGTTTGTGCTATGTTGTGCTCGTGTCTTTACGCATATATATATATACATGAATGTATACATGCATTTACTGTACATGCCAATGCCTGGCATTGCCTGCCACTAGCTGAGAGTCCCATTGCTGGCTCAATTGGAGACGTGACCGTATTGGTAGGGAAAGTCGATGCAGCTTGATGAGACCAATCAATCAAACAGATTTACATGGCGGAGTCATGTCTCCAGTTTTCCCATCATTGCGAAAGAAGCACCCCAACAGAGTGACAGAAAATGCTCTCCGTTTGGCCTCACAACGAGGAACCCCACCCAAAATGCATGAATAGAACAATTGGGTTTGAGTCTGAGCATGGAAAGAGTATATAGACAATTCCATTACTAGCCTTACCAGCCTAGTTGGCCAGAGGGTCAGCACCTCGTCTCTCGTCTCTCGCGCCTCTTCAGAGGTGGCGACAGTTCGAGGTCCAAGTGCCCGGGAGTCAAGACTGGTACGACCTCTCAGAGGCGAGGAAAGAAGAAGAACGGGATAGCTATTAGTAGCGTCCTTGAGTAGCGATGGTCTCCAACCTAATAGCGATGGCCTCCGCCTCATAGCTTCTTGTTACTCATAGTTCTGTGCTGGAATGTTGGATGACGTTGGATCAGATGCGGCAATGATTGGACGTGTCATGGACCATGGGCTGAAATGTTGGAATGGCTCATGTATGCTTTCATCTTTGTACGGGCAGCTTTCTCATGGTATCCACAGCCCGGGCTGCGTTGCTCAAGTTGAGTGTCCAGCGGGTCCCCGGGTGACGTCGATCCCAACTGGGCAGTGGAGAGCGGGGACCGCTGCTAGTGCCTGCGGTCAGAGCAGGTTCATGATGTTTTGCTGTTTTCATTCGATTTTTTGTTTTTTTGACCATCCAATCAATCCAATGATATTTTTCTTTTTTCAGGTCACTGGATGTCACTGGTGCAGTGTTCTTCACTCATTGGCTTGTCTTTTTGCGAAGCCCTCACTTGAGATCCACTCAAGATCCACTCCATCGCCCGACTGGTGACTCGCTGGACCAGGTGTATGGTGCTGAGGTGGAAGCTTCTCAGCTACTTGGCCGGGAGTGTTTCAGGTGGGGGCACATGTTTTCACTTGACTAGAATCCCGCTGCCGCCCAAAATGACGTATACGTATGGATAATTTTAGTGGGTTTCCTTTGGTGGGGAAGGAACAGTCTTAGATCATTGACGACCCTTGGGTGGCTAGCTGGCCTACCTGAACAAACCAGCTTTGGCAGGCTACCCATGTTTGTTTTCCAGGGAGTTGACCGAGCTGTAGGAGGAACACGTTGAACACGATCCAAATGGTTCTTCAGACCAAGGCCGCCTGGATAGGTGTGTGTGTGTGTGTGTGTGTGTCGACGGGCAAACGTGGTGACTCCAAGAGGCGGTGATATGCGTTTGCGCCCACGCCGAGGCTGCAGAGGTTCTTCGTTTATTGGCTCAGTGTGCCTGGCGCTCGTGGGCGTGGGAAGAAATCACGATGCGGTAGGCCAGAACCATCCAAGGGGATCCAAGGGTATTCATGGGAATTCGTGTAGGAATCTTGATGTCCCAAGATGTCCCAAGTAACCCCTTGGATAGTCCTATGCATATTGCTTTTAAGTCTATCAGAGGGCTCAAGCCAGGAATCTCAGCTTGGCATTTCCTCCATGTTAGGCAACCTTTTCATTATTGGCGGGAACGGGGTGCCATTGGTCAGACGAGCATGCTGGCTGCTGTTCCAACAGGCTGCGTTTTAGTAGCCACTGGCACAAGGTAACACGTAGCTGTGACTCAACGAAGTCCATGTCTTGATCCTGGCAGGACTGAGAAAAACCTCAGTCCTCTCCCTTCTTCCGGACCACTTGCATGTTGGTGGACCACCTGAGGCCAACCACTCTGACCTTGGATGAGATCCTGGAAGGCCTTCGAGCCCTTCGCTCTAAATCCAGGCCCGTTCGAAGGGTCGAGCGGGGAGGTGATTGGGCCCAAGTGGCGGCGTGCAAGTTGCTAGCAGCCGAGGATGAAACTAGAAGGCAGTTATGGAGTTGCCAAAAAGAGGTTGCGGAGACGGGAGTGGTCAGCTTGAGGTCACCGATTGCGGATGTCTACATCAATGGGTATATGAATACCAATTGATCCTTGATTTTTGAATCGGACATCGAAGGACCCAGACCGGTCGAGTTGGTTTCGGTCGGTCGGTCGGACGACCTGATTTGGCGGCGACTGCTCCACTGCTCGACCGGTTTGGCCACGAACCCCATGCAAGAGGATGTGAGTCACAAGTCCAGACATGGATGGTTTGGGATTTGTTGTTTGCGCCACCAAAAACAGAGCTCACTGAGACAAGTCCGCAGGTTATCTCGTTGGACAGGGCACTCTCAAGACGAAGGCAGGGCGCTATTTGTTTGTGCTGTGTGTGTGTTTTGCATCAGATGTGGAAGAGAGATGAAAGGGTTGGGTTGGGATGCTGCGAACCAGCCATTTTTGAGAGATTGTCCATCTAGACATGCTGCTTTAGTCAACTTACTGTAAATTCTTCGGCCAAAAGAGTAGGTTTGAGGCAGAGGTAAACCTTGTCATCCCAAGATCTTCCAAACCGTTCGTGGTTCGTGGTGAACTCGCCCTGGTGACCGTTGCCGGACCGGACATGGTTGGAGGACCCACCTTGCCACGTGCCGCGCGGTGGTACAAAGAGCTGGGCCGAAGCTTGAGAAAGGCGCCATCTTCGGACCTGCAGGCGCGAAGATCCGTAAAGCGAGAGGGATGGGCGGAAGTCAGAATGTGATAGAATGCATAGTGGAATTGGGAACGCTCACGAAATATACACGTTTAATAAGTGGAGTATAAATTAACATAAATTAACTATATGCATAGTAATTTAATGCAGTATACTGAAGAATCCTCAAGAGCTTTGAGGAGGAGCAAACACAATTGGCCTGACCAGAGCCACTCTTCCAGGGGACACGTCCCTGCGTCAGCCGTTCTTTGTTCAATTCATTGGCTGCACGGGGGAGTTCAATTGGTAGCACCAGGGTTCATACAATGGTTCCGGTAGACTCTGCAGGAAACATTGCTTGCTATGAGCAAAAAATCATCCCTCAAGCTGCAGATTCCAATGCCGACTGTTGATCCGAACCATAATGGATCCAGAGGGGTTGTTAAGTCAACCGCCAGGAATGCCATCCCTACAACAAACATGGAAGTGGACGACCCCGTGTTTGTAGAGGAGAATGGTCTCTCCGGGACCCCATTGTCCACTTCCATGGTTGTTGGAGGGAGGGTCTATCATGTCTATCAGTCTATCATATATCCTTCGACATCCGCTCAGCGGCATCAGGTCTTCCGAGACGAGGCCTTGATCTACGTCGCTGGCACCGAGAGGAATTGGCGCAAGGCGAAGCGCTGCACAGCGCTTTCTTCGTACGTGGCTGATTGGTCTCACAAGGGCGGACAAAGTGATGGGTTTCAATGCGGTTCGTTGAAAAGGGTTTCTGGGGGGGCGTTTGTTGACGGACTAGACTCTATAGACTTCATGCAACATCTATGTTTAGCTATAGCATGCTATAGCTAGGGTATCCAACTTCGTGGTGCTTCCAAGCTGGATACTTCTGACAGTGATGCCTTCCGCCTTCCCACTCGTTCATCGACTCTTTGTCCCAACGTTTGAGTCTCCCCCTTGGGCCTTTGATGGGCATAACGTCCTTCCTCCTATTGGCTTTAAATTCACATTGAAGGGTTAGATGACTCCATTGATCCTCGAACAAAAAGGTTCATTGCTGGCTGCCCTTGCGAACGAACATGTTGCACCAGGCGCCGGAATGCCTTTGGATCAAGCCGGAGAAGTGCCCCGAAGGCCGTGACTGCACTGGCAGGGCTGCTGAGGTTTCCCTGGTCACGTCAGTGCCTACTCAGTCGCCGAGGATCCAAACAATACGTAAGATTACGTAATATGAAATGACGTAGAGATACGTAGAGTAACAAAGGGCATAATATGATAACACTATTTTTTACAGGAATTTGTGATGCCAGTGTTTGTGCAGGATTCATTGAGGATACATAGGATTCATAGGATCATTAAAACACTTGTGATTGATGCTAAAAAGACCTATTGAAGCGCTGATTTGTTTTGCTGGAATCGGTCTATGCAAGGAACGCATGTAGGTTGGAGCACCGATCGCGCGAGGTTGGAGCACTGATCGCGAAGAACTTTCAGCTCAGTATGGCCATGATCCATTGCACCCCTGACATGGACATGCTGCTGTGGTGGGTTGCAGTAGTAACAAGAAGCTACTAATAACAAGGTGCATCGCTACTAGGAGCAAGTGCATTATAGTAGCTAATTAGCTACTAGCAACACGAAGTTACTAATGTTGGCATTGATGGCTACCGTCAATCAGTTGTGTGGCCGGGGGTTCCGCTGGGTCGTTTTGTGGATACTCGAGCGCTGCCCTTGTGAAAGACAGGTGCGATTTGACTTGTGCACAGCAGATGCATTTCCAACTGTCATATCTACTATGAGCCTACTATGAGCACGATATTCAGTTTGAAGGTGCCCTTCACTTATACCAAGACACGCAAATTCCCTCCAACTGAACATATTCATATCACCATCATATTCATATTACCCACTGTGGCCTTGAAACATCTCTCGAAACGCTCCAAAGAGGTAAGAGAAGTCTTGCAGTGATTGAGAGTGATTGAGAAGTCGGAAACAGTTGAAGAAAGGTCTTTACCTCCTGCAAATCCCTTAAGAGGTTTCTCATGTCCGCCAATGTCCGCCGTCACGGTTTCCCAAGTGTTTTGCAATGTTTTGCCCCTTCCAGAGGGAACCTCGACAGTTGAGCATGATTCGTAGCGGTCGTGAAGTCCTCCTCTTGAGTGAGGACCAGACAAGTGCGCATGCGCTGCATATCTCTTCTCACTTCTTCACCTTTGCGAGGGTGGAGTTTTGTTGACTTCTGACTTCGGAGCACTTGCGCTCCAAACCCATAAAGCTGGTCAATCTGGATGGGTTTGTCCCACCCACTCAGGGCACCCTTTTGACTATACAGCTGTGCCAGGTTGAAGGAGGTCTTCACAGAGCGTGGGGCATCCAGGATTCGGTGAAATGTTCAATGTGGAGGCCCAACTTTGGATGGAGTAAGATCCCGGCAGCGATACAATGGAAAAGGGCCACTCCAGGGTCCCAATCCCAGTGTTCATACCCAGACCAAAAGACCCAGCGCAAAGACAAACCAAAAACACATGTCACATATTGTTGTTGCATTTTTGTGTGCGTGTTGTTGTTTCTTGAAACCAACTTGTCTTATTCATTGGTATATTTTTTTGGTATAGTTTGGATCGAAAGCCTCTCCAAACTCAACCACATTTCGGGGTGTTTTCTTCTGCCTAAGGTAACCAGTCAAGTAGTTTTCGTCACCTCAAAACGGTTTAGCCATCTCGACTCGATCTCCCGAGGCCTGGGCGTTCCGATCTCGGTGCGCTTCACTTGCCCGGGGGCCCGGAAGCGATCGAAAGGTGCCGGAAGGCTGGAAGCGACACAGCTGGGCCGGGAGAGCGGGAGCGTGAGCTGAGCTGCCAAATGCACTCGGGGTAGCTGGTTGAAAGCGGGAGAACAAGAAAAGAAGAGTTAGGCTCCCACTCATGGCCACGGAAGTGGACAACCACGGAATGAATACCCGCTTGCGATTGGTGTTGTAAAGGAAAGATCGTCTTCCAGGCCCCCTTCCAGACGTCGCCGCTGCTGGGAGCGAAAAAACCGCTTCGTTTCGTCCAACGCCCGAAACGTCGGTGCTCGAAAACAGGCACTTCTGATGCGCCAGTGGCACCTGTGGCGCTCCAGGGGCGCATGGCTGAGAGGGACACCGATGCACCAAAAGGATCCCAAAGGTGGAAAGCCTCCTTAGATCTAAACCATTTCCTCTCGTGGACCAGTGGAAAGTTGAGGACAGCGAGGACAGTGGGAACACGTTTGTCATTTCTATTTGTGTTCCGAGCATTAGCCATTCTCCCTACCCAGCTGGGTGAACAAGTCAACAGATTTACAGTAATTAAAAGTTATTTTGATATTCAGCATGATTCATACGTGGATGACGGCACTGTGTGAGCCACGGCCACAACGTGCGATGAGCAATTTAGTAATTTAGCAAAGGTGGTCATGAATTGCGGGAAGTTTGCTAGAACCTGCAAAAGCGAGCGATAAGCCCCCTGACATGGATACCCATGTCAACGCAATTTTGGGATATATCACCTTGTTTAATCATGTCCTCTTCTGAACAGGACTTTTTGGCAGACGCTCACATAGATATTCCATGACCCTACTGTATGTAACTCAGGCAGCCCCTTTGGATTCTAGACGAAGGCAGGGCGACAAGGAAACCAGCTGGCCAAGTTGAAACTTTTGGAAGGTCCATGCATGTCCATGCACCGTTCTCACCAGTTGGATTGATCAAGAGAATATCAAGCAATAGTCGGTGTCAAAAGCACGGTCGTCACTATGTTCTTCCGTGTTCTCACATGGACTCATCAATGATGACAGATGGTTGTTTACTCTTTTTGTGCTTGTACGAGTCTAAACACTCTCCGGCCGACCCTCCATTCTGCAGGCGAGGTGCCTGAAGCCAGAAACTTCATAGACACGTCCGAGCGCAGGTTGGGCGTTTTTACGTTTCCGATGTAAAGAAGGACCGGGCTGGACCTGTGAGGAGATGGTTTCCCCAAACATGAGCTGAAAAGGGAACTTCCGGTTCGGCCGAAACCCAAGATGACCAGCGAGGGGCCTTGAAAACCGGCGGCCTTTGAAAAGGGGCGAATTCCGCAGAGAGTTGTCTGGCTGGTCGGCGAAGCTGAGCAGTTTGCCACCGTAAAGTGGGGCCAATGGACAGTTCCAAGCAGTGGGCACCTGTGGTACTATTGGACCTCGAAAAGCAAGGCGAAAGAGAATTGGACCAGAGATAGAACCTATTGGCTGAACTCAGCTTATTCTGTGAATATAAGATATGGCTTGATATGGCAGTGGTTCGTGGAATGTCCCGGCATTTGCTGTATATACCGTTATTTTCCGCATGCCTACCGGGCCTGGATGATGTGCCTGACATGCTTGACCCAGATATTCTTGCCACGTTGGTCCACGGAGAAAGACCCTCAAAGCGTCGTCCTGTCGACGTGCCTGGAAGAGGCCATCCAACGAGGTGATCACAGATGGAGAGGCGTGGGGTTGTTGAGAGCAGGTGAGGGTGCGATTGTTGAAGGAATTGTGGGTTCAGAGCGCAACTAGTAGCGAAGGGCATCGCTACTAGGAGCAAGGACGCTACTAGTAGCTCCTGGCCTTACTATAAGGAACAAGAAGCTACTATAGTAACAAGGTTAGCCTTCTTGAAGATACAATGTTTCTCTCGATTTCCCGGGCTTTCTTATGCATTACGATGGCGCATCACGGTACCTGCGTGGAAAAAGAGAGCGGGGCACCCTGTCTTCTTTTGAGAGCAGCTGACCGACAAACGAAGAGGGAGGCACCCTGTATTGATAAGCATGTGGGGCATTCAAAGATGCTATAAATAGCATTTAGGGAGTACAGCCTTCAGATACAATATGTAACCTGCACTACTGCATTGAAAGTCTACCCTCTATTGACTCTATTATATAGCATCCCAAGATATACTGTATCTTCAACCCCTTGTGCCGACCAGGCAGATCCCGGCTCATTGGATGAAGAGCCGCTGGGCACCGAGCCGACTGCACCTGTTTCCGAAGGCAGGGCCGCAGGGCCCAGGATTTGTACTGAGCGTGAACCAATCAGGTGAATCAGATAGCAAAGCAGTGGTAGCAGATGGTCACCACATGTGCTGTACGGGTTGTACGGCACCTTCTCGTGAATCGTGCAAACAAAACCATCCAATACCAAGTGCCATTCCGAACTTGGTTTGTCAAAGGCAGCGAGTGCACTTCGCGACCTTGGGGGCGATGTCCCTGATCCAAGGGAATCCTCAGCAGCCAAAGTTTAATATTTAATGTTTAATATTCCCACGCCTTGCTTTGGCGGTAGCCAATCCATGCCAATCCTCAAGGTCCCCACCAACTTCAACCTGCCACTGCCAGGTGAAGTCTCGCCCAATCCCGATGCAGCCGATGCTGCAGCTCCTTCTCCGCCGTCTCCGCCGGAGCCCGTAGAGCCGCCGTCTCTGGAGCCAGAGGAGAACGGAGCCGAGCAGCTGGCCGAGCCGGAGCCGCCGGAAGAAGCGGCGAAGCGGGAGAGGGAGAACACTGCAGAAGATGGAAGAAGGCCCTATGTGGAGTCCAATGTCGTGGCCTTAGGAACTTCTCGGTGTCCGGGTTTTCTGGGTGCAGATGGGTGGAGACTGAAGGGTTCTTCTACAGCATCCCACTGCACCGGCGATCACCCGTTTGGCACTTTGGACCTTGGTTTTGATCTTTGATGACTTGGACCAGTTGAAGATGTTGAAGTCCCACAGGCACGTCGGAGTTCTTGAGCTCTGAGACGTGCCACACCTGGGAGCCGTCGATGACCCAACCCTGACGACTCTGAGGTTCAACTCCGAGGAGTCTGGGGGCCGAGATGAGCCCAAAGTGGGTGTGGATTGTTTGACCGCACGGCTTTAAGATGTTTTAACCAAGGTGAAGATGACAAGTTTATGATGGTTTATGTAAATAGCATTTGCATCATGCAATCAAATGTCATGTTCGTCATTGTGCATTCCGTCTCTTGCCGCTGTAGGGCCGGAAAAAGCCAGAGCAAAGCCTTTGGACGGTTTGGGTGAGCATGGCACCAACCGTCGTGTAGAGTAGATGGCGGATGGGGCCCATGGGAGCCCGGTTCCTTGAAACCAATTAGGATAGAACAGCCAGGCAGCCAGCCTTACCTACCTTTTGTGTGTTTTTTGGTTGACTTTTCCATTGGGACATGTTGGGACAGTGGGGCATGAGCTCGATTTTTTTTCCGGGTTTTGGTGGGAGAGTTGGGAAAGTGGGGCTGTTGGAAGGTCCTGATCAAAATGATCCGTTGGAACTCACGTGGAAGTGGAAAACACTCTAGTTAGTTTGTTTGTAAAGGACAATTGCCTTTCCAGGGACCATGTCCCACTTCCATGTTTTAGGGAGGGTGCCACTCTTCACAGACTTGTCAATCAATCGTTCTCAGTATGGCAGATTCATAGTGTCCATCGATGGCGCCACTAGGTGGCAGCTGATGGTCTGGAACTGAGCTGTGCAACTGGGATAGCCCGGTGACCGGGCGGGTGTCAGAAAAAAGGCGCAAGAGGTGGAAGAACATTTGCCACACATCGCCTACAAAGAGCGCACAAAAACACTGGCATGCGGCATTCTCAACGTGCAGACTTCAAACTACACGGCCGCAAGTGCACGAGGACCAGCACCTTCACGTCAGCCTTGCCCCCCCCAAGCATGCCATGCATATGGGGCCATTCATGTTAATCTACTAGTAGCGAGGACGCTATTATATAAGGATGGTGGAGGCCATCGCTACGAACGTAACAGGAAAGGTTTGGAGGTGCTGGGGGTCCGCCCCGCAGGAAGCTAAAGGAAAACAGAGGGTTCCACGAGGCCGATGGGCGAACGAGAGGCCGACGGATCGGCCCCGGAACCCGCCGGAACCCGGAATCGGTCGAGGTCGCGAGGAGCGAAGGCGGATGTTGGAGCGACTGGCGCGGAGCGTGAAGTCCTTGAAGGACGAAAGGCTGATGGACGAGCGTGGGCGCGGGGGGTCTTGCCAAGGGGAAGAGGTGTGAGCTAAAAGGAGTTTGGGGTCCTTCCCTTTGCTGAGAAACGAGCAAGTTCAGTGGATGTATAGATCAAACTGAGGAGATCTGAGGAGTATGAGCATGAAAAGTCGCTTGAAAGAGATGTGCTGAGCGTGTGCGTGGCGACGCCAACATTTTTACTATATACTGTAAAGTTATGTAAATACTGCTGACGCACAACATGCAAAAACCTTGCACCACGTTAGACTCATGGGAATGGGAACTCCTTGCTCATCCTTACTCATGTGCGTCAGGACTTTGCTCGGCAACGTTTGGGCTTAGCTGCTCCAACACCTGTTTTAATTCCAACCGCCTTCGTCAGGCAGATGATCTCCAAGGCCAACAAAGTGAAACACCACTCTGAGGCCCATTCGACCTGCAAGGGCCATACCGCGCTGATGCGAGCGAGACGAAGACGGACTGGCCAGGTTTGGTTTGAGGAGTCACCAAGTCCCGCCGAATTCGCGGGGGGCGTTTGATCCGTAGGTGTGCGTGGATTGCAACCCACACCACGACTTGGTGCAAGTGGGATACTTGGAGTCACCAATGGCCACCGAGGTGTGGGAGGCTTAGCATCGGCAAAGTAGCTTGCAACCTTCGACTGCTGACTGGTTGAGTGATGCGAGGATGAAGGAGGGCACACGGAACAAACCAGGAGCATTGGAGTATCCATCATGATCCATCCGTTCTTTTTGTCCCGAACTCCCAGATCCCTGAGACCTCCCTCCTCGGCCTCACCGGATCCTTGGGTTCTCTGAGGTTCATCCCCGTGTGGGTGGAACGAAGTGGTCAAAAGTCCGCCATGGACCGCTTGAAGGCGGGGACCCAGAACGGACGGACCACGAACGGCTCCGGGAAGCGGATGCGAACGGCTCCGGGAAGCGGATGCGAACGGCTCGGTGCAGTCCACAAGACGAACAGACGCGTTTGGAGCCGGTCAGACGCTGCAAACTAGATCTATAAGGTGATCTAAGTGCACTACAATACAATTTGTGTAGGAGTTTGGGTTTTGTATGGTTTTATATGGTTTTATGTTTCATGGCACGTCAAGTCAATAAGACTCATATGACCAAGCTAGCTGCAGACATTAACATCATTTGTTCTTGGCAAGCTAGAGTTTGAAGTGGCAACCTCTCGTTTCAGTTTGGATTGTGCATTCAGAATCCGGGAAAGGCCAGCCAGACTTGACATCCACTTACCCAGTTTCGTTCTAGCTCACCAACATGGAGGTGGGAAAAAACAACACCTTTCGCAGAGAAACGTTGTCTTACCAGTCGCCTTCTTCCACTTCCACGTTAGTTACTGTAGTTGGAGTGTAATGAAAACAAAATGTAGCTCCGCAGTTGGCTTCAGCAAGCACAACAAACCTTTCATGATCATGAGAACCCTGGGGGTGTTCTGTTCTAGTGTATATGAATATTCATATTGCTATATTAAACTACAATATAACTACATGCAATTATATTAAACATATTAAACTATGTTCACCACGTTAACATTATATGTGTATGCATAACTATTCATTGAGCCGATTGCACATGTACAGTTTTTGTGTTTCCTTTGTGTATTTCTTCAACTCCACGGTTTGCTTAGAGCTGCTGTGGCAGGTCTCCATGTCCAGCCAAGCACTCTACCGCTTTGCCGACTTGCTGATGGTTTCTCGGCACGCGGATGCGAACGTGCGATTCTGCTTAGAGCTGCAGACGGGTGCAGCTGGAATGAGGGTGGCTGGGATCCTGATCTATGATGGGGAGAAATGCCACCCCCATTCCCCACGAAGCTGCAGTTTGACGATGAGTTGTATGATGGTATGAGAACGGCTGAGCTATGATTATTTGGGCGTGTGCCCTTGACAAGAACCATCTCAAGTTCCTGCGTGTCGTTTATGATATCCCCTAGGATCCCCTAGGCCCTAGAGCGGGACTACTGCACGCATGTTTACAATCATGGGCATAGGTTTTGATGTTCGAATCTGGGACTTGCGCCTCAGTAGTAGCAGCAATTTGGTTGCTCACCTTTTTTTCAGTCGGCATCAGAGCTCGTCAAAAAGGACTTTGGGGGCCACCTCACTTCCAAACCTCTCCATGAAGCAGAAGATCAAGGGATATGATGGGTATTGAAGGTTTGTCGCTGAATGCACCAAATCAACGACCAATATCGTTCTCCTATGAGACAAGCCATTGGCTTTAAGGCTTTAAGTAAGAAGCATGTGTTGATGTATTTCATCGCCTGCCGACCGGCTGAACCCAGAAAACAACGCCCGTTGTGCTTGATCTTCCATCTTTTGATTTGTGTGAATTACATGAGGTCCACAGCACATCGACAGCTTGAATTGAATACATTCAGATCATTGAGATACGAGTTTCCGCTACTTATTATCTACTCCACGAAATGCTCTCTCGTGAAATGCAACTGCTTTGACGTTCAACGAAATGGTCCATTTATACGATTTGGTACGTGGACACAAAGTAGTTGGCATTGGCGTGTCTACCTTAAACGTTTATAGATTGCAGATGCATGCACCAGATCGGATACCCCGAAGAACTCCCTGGTAGCTTGAGGATCGCTGGTCGTCCACTCATTTTAGCGCGCGCAGCGGCCACAAGGGCATGGTGCCCCACCAAGTGGGACACCATATCCATCCATTTGGGCGTGCATGGAGACCTCCCAAAGGCCCCTGAATCACGGAAAATAGACTAAAACCATCCAAAACCCATTGGTTGGGTGGCACGACCTACGGACGTCCGTCTAAACGATCGCCCACAACCGGCCCCTCATGTCTTATGGTGGGTACTGGGGCAGTTGAAAGTATTTACTTTCAGTGCATTGTTTGATGTACAGTAAGAATGGTATGCACCGTTGGACTGAAACATGGTCGTCCACCTTTCTATGACTTAATCTCAAGCGAATGCGTATATCCGTTAAGTATTGCACGTGTTCTCCAGATACTCCAGATAAAGCACCTAATTGGGAAAAGGGTCAGGTAGTGTGTCAAAACCCTTTGGCTTGCAAATTAATTTCTAGGCTTTGTCCTAAATTGCACCGCTGTTTGAATGCTATCTCTGTCAAGGTTGGGTATGTCACACATGGATGGTTATCTTCCAATCTCAATGGATGATCTGTTGAACATGGGTGTCACTTCGAGTCACTCCTGTTAAAATGCGCACCCATATCCTGACGGATATATATATATATATACTAGGGGCCAATGACATAGGGCTTGTGAAACTATAGTCGAAGTAGCAGAAGCCTATGTCATGTGGAAAGGTACTACATGCCACAAACCCTATGTCATGAGGCCAAACGTGCGAAAAGGGCCCTGGCATGAACAATTATGTTGTCTCATGTTTTTTAAAATTTCTGGATTTCAAGAGGTTTTGGACATTAAACCACATATGACATAGGACTATGTCAGCCAAATAGCATGTGGCAAGTCGTAGATGACATAAAACAAACAAGGCGCGTGACTAAGTCATTGAGCATTTCCTGGTCATGTATTCACCTTGGGCGGGTACTTTCTTTAAGGTTTTTTAAAGGTAAACTTGCTGGCACAATGCCCACACACCCTATGTCATCCTTCAGTTTGGTGCGTTCACCTAGTTTGCTACTGGCTGATGACTTAGGACTACCCCCAGGGACATTCCTATGTCATAATTTGAGCATATTCCTATGTCATCAGCCCCTAGTATATATATATATATAATATTTATAACACTTACACTCCACTTCCCTGGTTCGGTGGGATCACCGCACTTTTTGACCTAGAAGTTGAACTCGTCGAACTCCAGGCTGTGTCGAGCATTTTCTCCGTGCCCTGCCGAGAGCTGAGATATGCGGTGACAGGGGACCTGGTGTTGGAGCCAGCGACCGGTGTTTTTCATGCTAGCAACAAGAAGCTACTAGTAGCTCCTGGCCTTACTAGTAACAAGAAGCTACTAGGAACAAAGGGCCTTACTACTAGTAACAAGAAGCTACTAGTAGCTCCTGGCCTTACTAGCAACAAGAAGCTACTAGGAACAAAGGGCCTTACTACTAGTAACAAGAAGCTACTAGTAGCTCCTGGCCTTACTAGTAACAAGAAGCTACTAGGAACAAAGGGCCTTACTACTAGTAACAAGAAGCTACAAGGAACAAAGGGCCTTACTACTAGTAACAAGAAGCTACTAGCAGCTCCTGGCCTTACTACTATAAGAAGAAGCTACAAGGAACAAAGGGCCTTACTACTAGGAGCAAGAAGCTACTAGGGGCTCCTGGCCTTACTACGAGTAACAAGAAGCCGCTAGTAGCTCCTGGCATTCCACTAGGAACAAGAAGCTCCTATGTTCCTATAGGAACAAATGGCATCGCTACTCGTAACAAGGTGTGACCTCTCCAAGGTAGCTCTGTTCACCCTCAAGCTACTTCTTTGCTTCTTGTTACTACTAGCGATGCACTGTGACCTCTCCAAGGTCACCGTCAAGTGCACATCTTTGAAGAAGATACGCAGACCGTGGCCTTCAATAGCGGGGCGCTCTTCTTTAACTTGCGGTTCTTCACCGAGGACCGGGAGAGCGAAGGCGACGGCAGACGGATTTCGTGGCTGGTGTCAGTTTCCCAGGTCGGAAGGGGACCCAAGACCTGTTTACAAACGCATGCACCACTGGATTCTATGAACATTTGTGGAGAATGATCAGCCAGAGCATGGACTGAGCTAGCTTTACCATGGGCACATGCATTGGGCCATCATCTTCCACAGAGAAATGCACATCCTCACAAAGCAACAGTTGGGGATTGCACCACCAGTACGTTGGAAGAAGTTATCAATTATAGGACCGCCCAAGGTGGAGCCAGACTTGGCAACCCGTTGCTTTCGCTCTTTTGGCTTCGGCTATCGCAGCAACGCCGAAAACGGATGTCGTGCCATTGATTGCCATTGATTCTGCAGCATGCGACTCAGCGTGTTCGCGCCTCGGCGGCATTTCACTCCAGTGACCAGCTGCACTGTGATGCAGACCTCGGGTTTCGATTGTAAGAGCCTCTCTGGCCTTTCTATGGAGAACAAGTCTCAGAAGATGATTTCTACATATAAGAGGGCTAGGAACCTCCTATGCAGACGGAATAGGTACTCCGACTCTTGCTTTCCAAAATGCTTGAAAATTGCTTGAAATCATTTCAAATCGCGAGTCTTTTTTGCATTGGGATTAGCTGGTCGCCAATTTGGTCGCCCTCTGTGTGCTTTGCGCATCACTGTTCGCATCCTACTCGAGGTGGCCCTCACACCTGCGGTGCTGGGATACCACAGTGAGCTGCTGCTTCGGAGTGAGGCATCTGGTTTGGGAGATTTGACATGGCTTTAGGTATATACACAGCTCAGGAGCTTGGGAGGAGTAGATCACGAGGAGTAGATCCGATTTCTTCCTATTTAAAGTTGTTGGGATTGTTTAGTCAGAAGGCATGAGCTGACTGACCGATGCATCAACATCTTCATCTTGAACATCTATACCGGACCGTTGCATGAAGACGAGATTTTGGTTCAAAGGTTTGCACTTACGGAGGGGCAAGGCAGGTATTGATGTGCCAGAGACTTGTTTTCTTGGCCTTCCCTGCTCAAGGCCTCGGTTTTTTTCATTAAATTGCTGAAACAGGTAGTGGTTTTGGGGCAGCTGAGTTTCCCAGTTCCTTGCCTGGGCTTCCTGAAGACTTGTATAAGTGCAGTGATAGACACCGACCAGTCCAGAGTGACAGCCCAAACAAAGATTACATAGAGATTCCAGTCATTTGTTCTTGAAACAGCCGTGGCTTGCTGCGAATCAGGCCCTCACAGGCCTCGTTGTTCGGCCGGTCTTGCCCAGGCGGAGGAGCTCGGGGTGGTTTGGCGCGGCAACGCCACGCTGCACTCCAGCCACGACGCGTTGCCGGCCGCAGTCAGTCGCCGCTCAGAGCTGCTGACAAGAGAGGAGGAGATTTACTGGAGCGGGGAGCGGGCAGTGAAGTGAAGGAGCTGGGAGGGAGGAAGTGTGATCTCCAAGTTTGCCGCTCCTTTTTCCGCCATGCTCTCCAGGCGGAGGCATTGGGGGTGATTTGGCGTGGCAATGCAACAGCGCAGTCCAGCCACGAGCAGCTGCCAGAGCCAAATGGCGGATATCCTGATGACTTTTCCTGGTGCAACAAGGCGCCAGCGCCAAGCCAATTCATTGGGAAGTGGTGGCATAATATATATATATATATATATTTGAGGCATGCCTTTGAGTGGGGCAAGGCATACAACACCGGTAGTTGTAGGATGTGCGGTGTACACTACTAGGCAACTAGTCTTTCGCAATTCCAATCGTTGATATATACTACTTGCCAAGATATAGCACATGTTTGGGTCGCCTTGTCACAGTTGTGGAACACATGTAGCCATCCTCTTGCAAGTGTGCTACAGCAGAAGTGCAGCAGCATGAGCATCACATACAATATAGGAGTGATGTGTGTGTGATTGTATATATATATATATATGTATGTATATGATGTGCATGGCACATGATTTTCAGCATGTCCACAAGCAAGCATAGGCAAGCCAGCAAGAAGCGTTGCAAAGCGTTGCCTCGCTCAAGAGGACGGTGTCAACTATTGCACGATCTCACTGAATCAGCATATTCCACAGCACCTGGGCCAGACCCGTGGGGGTCATTGATGGGCAGATGATCAGATGGGTGAGGATGCCAGTTCCTTGTGCCATTCCCGAAACACTGGCTTTCAGTGGTTTAGGGCTTGGGGAGTTCTCGTTGTTCTCAGACTACTGTACCCAACATAGTGCTGTTCGGTGCTATTATATAAACTATTTGCAACTGAGAGTTGCAATAGAACCTTAGAGTATCACCAGCAGATACAACTGCAGCATTCACCAAAAACAGTGGCTTGCACCGTTGGGCTATGTATATATATATATTAGTATTCCTGAATTCTTCCCCAAAAGTCTCCTTGATGGCGGATTGTGAAGGAGCCCGTACTTTCACTTCACTGAAGAAGCGATCCAGACCTCCAATCGAGCCCCTTTAAGGTGGTTGACTTTGTTTTAGCTTCATTAATGCTGTGTGAGTGTGTGAGGGAAATTTTTCATGAGTCACTCCGTCAAAGTTCTTGCATAGAAAGCAGACATACTTACTACTGTGATTATCATATTACTTATTGCTTTGCCCTTTAGGCTTTGATTTCGCAGCCCTTGGGAAAAACACCTTGCACTACATGTGAATCATAAATCAGGTATGAAAATCAGTCATGAATCGACATCATGGCCAATGGCCTTCACGTTGGTTCTCAACATGAGATGCCAAAGGTGAGTGATGGTCTATACTCTTTGCTCCGTGGCAAGAGTATGCTGTACCAACGTTGTCTCTCACAGTTCTTGCAGTACCTTTGGGTAGCTCGTTTGCTTTTGTTCCTTTTTGTTCCTGGGCATGTGAACCAACAAATATGTGTTTGTTGCTTAGGCGTTTGTTTTTGTTTTGTGTTTGTTTTTTTTTTTGTTGTTGTTGTTGTTGTTGTTGTTGTTGTTGTTGTTGTTGTTGTT